CTGTGTACAGATAGAAGTATGCATTCTTTTGAAACTTGGCCAAAATTCAAAGATCAACGACATTATTTTTTCAGACCGCATAACACTTCAATCATTTATCCACATCAACAAGTTTTTCCATTTACTTTGTGTCAAAACACGTATTGTTGATAACATGCTGTTTTGTTTTTTCAGTTAAGTATTTTAAGGATATGGCTAATATGAAGTGGAGTAACGAACTGCAGAAGCACTCGTTCATTGTCAAACGAACATGGAACTTTCTATTTTATGATAACACTTCAACTTTTTTATTTCCAACATGTCGGTATTAATATTTATAATTAAAATGGCAGGTATTTATTAAATAGTTTTTAATTATATGTGGAGCTCTTCTTCATTATTCCTTGTGGGTTTTAAACGAGAATTTGTGGTTAGATCAGTTTTGATTAAATATTTGGCACAATCAGATCTACGAAGAAGTCACCAAGTTAAAGATTAATGGAAAAACAGATGTTTGTTTTCTATTTACACTCTCATTCAGTTATTTCAGTTATTCAAAATATAAAAACAAGCAATTGGCACCGAACCAATAAAGTGTACATTCCGAGGGAAGAAATTTTTGGATAAACAAAATTTAATTCTTCTTAACCACGAAAATTTGCGGCAAAATAAAAAAAATCAAACAACACAACTCATACAATATTATAGGCATACATGTACATACAAAATATATCATTGTTATAAATGTATGTACAACCTCAATACTATTCCAAAATACACAACAAAATCATTTAAGCTTAAATGACAACAAAATAATAAATACTTCCGACTTTGCTCATTAATGTTATATTTTTATTCAATTAGAATTTCTCGTTGCAAATTACTTCTGTAAATGCAGTTTAGTTTTGCCGTGAAACAATAACAAACTATAGGTGGTAAGTTCATTCCTAATCTAGAAACTGTAAAAATAAAAAAAAAACTAATTTTTCTATGTCGTAAGTTTAGATTGTTAAATGAGTGTATCACTCTTGAACTTGTAATTTCAACAGATGTAATTTATCTTGAAAAATCAAGTGCACCTGTTGACACATTTCTAATTTGAAAAAGATGCTAGAAACTTCTCCACTTTTGTTATTTTGTTCACTGATAATATTTATCTGTCTACTTCTGTCACAATGCTAATATTTAAATCTACCTATCCATAATGGTTATTACACCACTACAAAACTTCAAATGTCAATAGGTACATTCATAGTTCAAATATATTCTATTCATACCATCGATCAAGAAAATTAATTAAGAATAACTAAATTGATACTATCAAATGGAATCAACCCTATATTCTACATGCTTTATGTTTTATAGCAGTATTATAGATTAAAAAATGCTGGAAATTTTTTTGTGGTATACTTGAATATTTATGTTGCTATAATCCTTTTTTCACACAACTATTTGAGTTTTGTCGTTATCTATATATATACATATATAAAATAAAACTTGTTATCGTACCACAGAAACAATAATTATTATTGGACTTCGACGACTTTTTGCAGGTCTCATAATATTTTAACAACGTATAATATTTATTAAGCGAGAATTTCATTTCAACTGAATATTTGAAACACGCTTTGCCTTTAAAGGAAAAAAGATATCTAAAAACTATTTTAATGTGGTCTGGTAATGATGACAACGCCATTGTTTTTGCAATTCCTTTGAAGTTCGCACAATTAACGTTACAACGGAATCAAAGTACTCAACCATTAGATACTTATTTCCTACTAAAGAAAATGTTTTTATCAGTGAAAATGAATCGTATTACTTAATGGTTTTATTTATAGTTTCCGGCATCAATTCTATATATCTGATAAAACTAAGCTACCTAAAAATGTTTCGATCCTTTAATCGTAAGTATTAATAATTGATAGCAAGTGGAGTATATTTGAAACGGTTTAATTCAATCTCTTGTATTATTTGATATACGTTGCTTATAAATAAATATGTTTCGTTTTAGGCAGAGATAACGGTAATGAACTAATGACAGGATTTACGCCTACCTCAAAAGTGAATTCGACTGATTCTATAGTACGGATTCTAAATATTACTATTTTTATCTTATTATTAACTATCAAACATATAGCGTGATCATAGTGACTACTGTATGAACAAATGTTTATCTAATTAGTTGTTTTTGATTAGTGTTCTTATTTTATTTTGCATCAGTTTTCACAAACTTAGGTGATAAGCAAACTAGTCAGTGTTTTACAGCCACTAAAAAATTGGTCGAAGGTTATTTCAACAGAACTTCCTTCGCTCCTGAGGTACAGTAGAACAAATCCAGATATGTATTTCGAAAAATTAGAAGTTTTGATTTTGCGAATTTTATTTTTTATGATAACCCTTATAAATCAAAATAAAGATATGTGTGTTTTTCTATTACAAAATTTTGTGATGACGTTATCAACATTTTACAAAGATACGTATATCAATTTAGATAGATGCAGTGTAATACTAACAATAACAGTACTGTATTTCCAAATTTTCGGAAATATGAAGTGAGTCATAGTAGTCATATTATAGTTTTTGTTTCATTAAATTAAACACACACAAATTTGGCCCAAAAATAATTTTATATCTTGAATCTGAATTAATGTTACTGCTACAATTTGTTAATTCCGTAAATAAACACCCGTACATTTAATACTTTTTAACATACAAGTTTAAAATATTCAACACCAATATTTTCCTCCTTCTTTCAACTTAATGTAAAAGAAAGTTGAAGTCATTAGAAAAAAAGAGACAATTGGGTCTTATCTGCGCAAGTGCAACGTGTGAAACCCAAAAAAAAAAAATCTGTCCATCTAAGTTACTGTGAAAGATTGTAATTCTAGACATTTGATGTTAGTACCTTAAACAAGAGTGAACATAGCAACCTATTATGCAACCTACAGGATTTCATGACTGATCTAAACAAACAATTACGTAACAGAAAATATATATTTTTATTTGTAGGTTTGCGCATCAGTGAACTAGAAAAAACCAAAATTCCCTAGGACCCTTTGCTAAAAATGTTTGTAAATTTTTCGATCAATGGTGTTGTTAGTGTCTTTTTAATCAAGACTGAATATATTATTATTATTATTAACAAAAAAAATATATACCTTAACTGAGCTTATCTCTTATAACCAACTTAAAACTTTTGCCTTCAGGGAAATTTAACTTGGTTCTAGTTTCAAAAAAAAAGGCTACAAAATGTTATCCGTAACATATTTTAAATGTAATCATTGTTACGACTTATGACTCACCGAAAGGATTACAAAACTGAATTAAATGAATTATTTAAGTACTTGATGGGTTTTTTGTTTACTATTTAACCTTCACTGGTTTATTAACTAAATTAACAAATATAGAAAATCTTGAAAAATAAGAAAGACAATTTTTAGCTATACTGTGCAATCATATTTTGTAATTTTACACAATTTCGTGTAAATAAAAAAACTTGTCTCATGACCTATTGTCTAAATAATGAAATTTTACGTTCTCATTAAACCGAGGACTAATCTAGAAATAGAAAAATTGAAAACTACAAAACAAGTTGTCATGGTGTATATCTACAAATAAAAAAGAACTAGTTTGGATGACCCCAAATGTAGATATGCATATATTAATGCAACAGAGTTCTTTTGATTAACAACGTCGTAGTGAATTTCCTGACTTTCACAAAATTGTGGCAAACTATTATATCAAATATTGAAAAAACTTTTACGATTTTAATAGCAATTAATTTTAGAAAGCTTTCGTACAAAAAATTGACAATATTTGAAGCGTAGTGCCTACTATGTGGAACTTTGCATCTATTGCGTCAATGTATATTTAAAAAAAGTTAACAGTTTAAAATTAAATGCACACTTTTTTACTTTCGTCAGTGAACACGCTTTATGAAATGGCATGAATTACAACAAACGCTAGCTCGTACGTACCTACTTGAGAAGGTTAAAAATCCATTAATGAATGAAGTAAGTCTGTTGGAAAGTAATGTCAGTGGATATTATTGACAATTATGTTGCGCAACAGTGCATCACCTAGTAATTAAGGAAAATCTGCCGTGCGAGATGTCGCGTTTTATTTTGGTTTAAACCTTCTTTCAATATTTGTCGAAAATATTAAGTTCAGTTGCGTGTTGATTTTTGTGTTGCACTTGCGGCACACTGTTCCACATTGTTAAAGTCATTTCGAAATTTCTTTCGAATGTTGAAACCAATATCGTATATATTACAAAAACATTCGCTAACAAGTAAAGTTTGTAATTATAATTTAGTATACAAAAAACGCTTACTGGGCCACATTATCATTTACAGGGAAATTGGAGTTGTTACAGCACGAACAACCTTGTTAAAGAATAATTCAGTTCGTTACGAATATGAAACGTTTTGCTTTTAGCATCCAACGAAAAATCTCGTCGTGGAAAGTTTGCGAACTATTTGTGATAAGTTTTCAATAACGGCATTGTTGTTTGTCGTTTACGATGGCGACATAATAGCGGCGTGTTTTTATTGCATTGTAACGGACGTATTGGTATGAATTTAATTTTTAAATTCGTTTGATTGTCATGTATGAATAAGTATGCGTGTATAAACAAAGTAGTGTGTAGTGGTGACGTGTCGTGTCTGCAGGATACAAGAACAAACAAGTCTACCTTTGATGCATGATCCTGAATTATGCTTATCGCAAATAGAAAAGCTGCACGGGTCATGACCTCGCTCATGAAATCCATATTTAGATAGGGTAGGGTGCAGAAATATTTATACGGTTATTAGAAAGTAATGATGCGTGACAAGAACCGAAAACAGGATTAGTGGGCAGCTGAATAGGCTAACAAGTTCATTTGGAGCAGTCGGGTGTTCCAGCGATCTCTCCGAAGGAAGAATAACTGAATTCGCCGGTATCGGGAGTAAAAATAGTTTGTTTGAATGTTTCGGGAAGATGAAGAGTGAAAGTGAACGAGAAAATGAAAATGGACTTACCTGAAGGTAAGTCCGGGTCATCTATTTCCTCGTCGGATTCGGTCCCGGAATCGCGATCTTCATCAGCCTGTATTAGAGAAAGTAAGAATGAGAGAACGGTTAAATTCATGGAACCACGAATAACATTAACAAATATCAGCCATTGTATCGCAAGCCGGTTTATAAATAATCGCGAGAAATGCCGCTCGGACTGCGGCGATTTTCGTGAATCCGGCCGGTTTGACGGCGAAATAGTCACCCGGAGCGCTTTCCGGACAGCGAATGTCCCTAAAAGCGTCTAAAAATGGACCCGGAACATGCATTCCTTTGTTCCGAGCTTTTGTCGGGGGCAGCCATTTTTCACTCGGATATGACCTTCAATGAGGTTAATATTGTTACAAATCGCATCTCCGCCGATTAATACACACCTTTTCCACGTAATTATCTTCGTTTATCGAGTGCGTCCGGAGCTTGTGAGTGAGGAACTTGAGCATATTTTCCTTCCGGGACTTGGTTCCTGCTTTCGTCGCCACCTTGACGATTTTTCCGAAACGATTTCACTGAAAATCCTCACAAACTCGCGAAAACATCATCGGCGAGCCGGAAAATTCGACCTACAGGCAACCGGTTTGCATCTCAGAGCACCAACACGAAGAACCTCCTCTCTCCAGCGGAGACGTTCTACTACTGATTGTACGTCTAGTAAGTGCGCTGCGTGCCGTAAACAGTCTATTAATACTACCGGGGGGAGGTCGCTCCGAAACTCCCTCAAAATCGCCCAGATATTGTCTCTCACAGACCCTTCAACGCCGTGCGACAACCAGAACCACCAAAATTAACCCAAAAGGCCTCTTTTAGTGAAAACGGCGGCTTTTTTCATAAAGGATTTGCCGTTGAGCAGTAGCGGCCTCCCCTCGGATCGAACGTGGACTCGTCGGTAACCCATTGATGACAAAGGTAGGTCTGATTCCCAAGCGGTCTGTGATTGGTCTTCGCCGGCTTGTTATGCTCTCTTCTCGTCTGCATAATGCTTTTCTGTCTCACACGGAGAAGTTGCATAATAGCCGAAGCGACTTCCATCGTATGGCGTAGCGTAAGCTGAAAACTACAAGTGTAAAGCTAGTGTGCGGAAAACCGGTCGAAGACTGGAGTGCGTACACGTTCAACATGAGTCGGAGAGAGACGGACGATGTAAAATTGAGTAAACTTGGACGTATGAACTTATATGTGTTAGTATGCTTTCCGAGCTTTTTTCTAAAAGGCTGTCATTGAGAGGAGGCGGTAAAGGGGGATCTTCATCTTCGTTGGGGCGCCGGAACTTTCGCTTCCTGGAAGTCTTCGAAAATGCGGTTGATGCTGCCAAAACGAAACTGCACTAGAACTTCTATACAGGATATTTCATCTCTTCCTTATTCCTTTTTTGTTATATTTGGAACAGCTTAAATTCGCACACGTATATATTTATTAGTTAGCACTCGGAAAAACTAGTATTTGATAAGCAGTGGAATCGATGTCGAGTAATAAAATGTCCAGACTGTTTTAAAGAAGGATGTGTTATGTTATTTAGAAGTAACAAAAACCTTCATTTCTTTTAGACTATAAATTGCAATACGTAGAGAGGTTTGGTTGAGAAGGTAGGGCTTTGACTGATGTTACCGCCCTCTTAAAGAATATACCACTTGGAAAAATTTTGATTAAAAAGATAGACATAAACCTGACTACAGTTAAAACTTTTTCAAGGTAAGTAACGAAAATTAGTATTAGTATGAAGTATGAAGATCATTTTGATGAATGTTTAACTTCATATTTACTTAACAATTCCTGCTTGCAGAGCTTGCATGATACGAAAAGGTCAGTCTTCTATTACCGCCTGTGTATCATCGTCTGTCTGTCTGTTAGCGATTTTATTATACAATCATCGACACTGTTGGACTGCTTATTGAACTTTTAGTTGTACTTCAAGATTATCGTGTAGATAATTTTAAAGTACATAATGTAGCTTAAACGTGAACCAAACCTTATCTCTTCTTGACATTTATATTTTGCATGCTCCTTTATCTGAAGTATCTGTACTTTTAACGATGTGCTTATGGATTAAAAGAAAATAATTTACATTTTTAAATAGCGATATAGAATAATTTTCAATGATGCATAATTTTCTTTTATTTTTGTTGTATAGGAAAGTATTTTCATTAATAATAATAATAATAATAATAATTGATAGATAATGAGACGTCCAAGTCACCTTAAAATTAGCTCTAAAGCCAATAATTTTATTCTTTGAAAATAAGTAAGCATATGTTAATAATGGTGCTTGGAATTGTCAATTTTAAAACAAAGAACAACTTTGTTTAATATAACAAACATTCAAAATGCTCTTCAGTGACTTTACGGCAACATTGAAAACTTCGAACCAATCTCAAAAAGTTGATGAATTGTATAAAAAAAGGGATTAAGAAAATTTTAGCTTGTCTTTTCTGTTTTTTCTCTTTAGGGAAATAAAAAAAATCGTCGAAGGTTATTTTTACAGAAATTCCCTTCCCTTCTACACAAGAAAACGGCTTCTTCGAATAATTACAAAATTTAATTTTGTAAATTTTATTTTTAATGATAAATTCTATGAGTTAAAATACAGGTATATGTGGATTGTTCAAATACATGTAAATAAACATGCTGTGCATATGTTTTAAGTGAGTTTTTCCGTAACAAAATTTTGTGATAATTTCATCAACAATATTTTATCAAGACATGTACTCGTACATATATCAATGTGAATAGATGCAGTGTAATACTAATAACAGTAGTGAGCCGTTCTTTAAATAATATTAAAAACTATGAATCCATTGTTAAACCACAACTGAAGAGTCATAATATTTATTTTGCATAATTTATTCAGCAAAATTTTGAGATGACGTCATCAATTTTTTTAGGAGGGATAAACGAATAAATATTGATTAAGAATTCGTCATGCTTACGACAACCGTGACACGTTTACAAGATGTCAGAGCATTCGGCCTTGTAATTTCAAGGTTAAATTATTAAATTTTACAAAATGTGGATGTCTTGTGTAAAAACTAAAGACGAATTCATAAACCACAAATGCAGGAGTATCTTATTTTATAAAATGTAAATACTTCGGAAAGTACACCCAGCATAAAACTGTTAATCAAGATTACTCGCCACCCTTACCTTTCCAGGACTGTATTTGTTTCAATACGTGAACAGGTAGATTGTTAAACGGACCGCTTTCAAGGTATTTAATCTTAAAATTTAACGACACATGAAAGTGTGGTTCTTAAAACTTTTTAAATCTTTGCAAATACATATTTCATAGAAAAACCCAATAAAAATGAACTCTGCCATGATTTATATATGAACGCTCCAAAATTTGAAGTCCAGTTTTGGCTGAAGCCGTACCTCGGGTGCGAAGGGTTCGTAATGGTTTTATTGCAGGTTGCGGTCCAAAGTACTTAAGACCCCCTCATAAAGTAATTGACAGCGTTTGCAATTATTTTTCGTAGCACTTAACTGTAAATTTTGAAGATGACGTCATCCCGTGGTGTGTTGTTGGTGAGGATAATTAGATGATTTTTGCTTAGTGTTTTATCACATATATAATATTCCTAACATACAACAAAAATTGACACAAACGACAGACAGACGGCAACGGGAGACCTATTTTTTCGGACTTTAGGGGTCATGAAACGTCGAGATAAGCAACAAGTCGTCGGATGGATCCTATTACAACACATACCTAGTAAGTAGTAGTAATTAAACACACGCTCTGACACAGAGTATTAATAACATTTCAGAGGGTGAAATATATACTGTCGAACTCTTTGTTTTTAATTTTGCTGGAAACTCATCGGTTTATCGTTTACGAAAGGCAGGTGGATGTTTTGGGCCGCTATTATGCCAAAGAATAATTTCTTCTCAGAACTCATTCGTAAGCTCATTTTATGGGTAAGTTATAATCCTTTCAGCAAATATCTCTATTCTTTGCAAACTAGCTCAAAGACCTCCACTTCTAATCCTAAAGAAGACCTTTCTGGGAATTTGTTTTCATCTTATCGATGTCCCACTGTTTGCAGGTAAAAGCAATGCAGAAATGTTTTTAAAGAGGTAAAACCAAACATTGATTTACAATTGTACGAAACCGCAACTACGTAAGAAAATTTTTTAGATACCTACATCTTTTGCGCCCTTGAACTATAGTCACAAATTCTGCTCCAGCCTGTGAGACATACCATAGCTTTAAGAACTACAAAGTGTTGACAAAAATAGAAACAAAGTGAGATACCGTATTTAGAAATACTGATAATTTTAGTGACGCAAAAACAGCTTCAAAAAGCCGGCTATAAAAAGGTATGCTACTAAAAAGGCTAAATTACGAGAGCGGTTTGGTTAATGTGGTAAAAAAGCAACCTAAACACATTTTTTTGTAAAAAATCAAGTTTATTTTTCAATGTAATCTTCTTCGAGAGCTACACACTTGGTCCAACGAGTTTCCAATTTCTTTATTCCGTCAGCAAATTATATTTCTTCAAACCTTGCAAAATGCCCATTTACGGTTTCAACCACCATTTTATGAAAATTTCTTCTCACTGACTCAAATTTTAAACTGGTAAAGAGGAGGTAGTCAAATGAGGTTGTTGTACGAACTGGTGTTTTTCAATTTTTGTACAAATCATTTTTAATTTTTAAAGCAATTTTAACAACTAGGGTAACTGGTATAACAGAGGAAAACCTAGAAAAAGTAGTCATTATTATTAGGAATTCCCGACATTGTAGGCCACCAACCACAACTGCAATAGTGCTGGCGATCGGACGGCAATGAGCATCACTTTCCTGATGCCGAAGCCTGATTATGAACATAGTGTCCATATTTTATAAAAATGAAAGGCAAAATTAATTTGCAAAATCTGTTAATTTTTACAAATTTTTTGTAGTGGACTGATTTATTATTCTTAATTATTAGTTCTTCGCCACTATATTTTTAAAATATTTCTGTTCCCTGTTCTCATTATTACGTATAATAATTAGGCCACGAGATAGAAATAATAAAAAAGTAAAGAGACTACGTAATTTACCGTTTATAATTACATATTTCCAAAAACCATCTCTACATAATCTCATTTCTTGTTTTTGATAAACAGCGAAAAAATGGCATTAAAAATATTTTTTAATTTATCAGTATTTTTTTTATTTTATATTTTCTCATATACAGGTGTTATTGAAAGGTACGTACAACAAAATTGACAGTTCTTCGCGAAGTCTATGACGTCTGAAAAACTTATTTTGTGTTATCAAAATTATAAGGGGAAAATTAACCCTTATCCAACCTTTTTAGACGCTACTAGAGGATAAATAGGTTTATTTTAGTAAATCCTAGCAACTGTAACAATAATAAAAAAATAAGAGACTCTTTTGTTACTATAGAAACGAAAGATGACCTTTTTATCAGAGGCGTACAACGAATTTGGACATAAATTTTAATAATTTTTATCTCTAAAAGGAGAATACTTTCACCTGAACTTTTTTTACTTTTAGTATCCACACTTCGAGACCAATTGCCGATTTTATTTTGTACGTACCTTTCAATAACACGCTGTATACTCATATTATTATTTAATAAACATATTTGTGAACACTGTTTTGTCGTTTCCTACAGTGTAAAAAATATAGCACAACATGCTGAG